GGTTAGAGCACCACTTGATCTTGGTTTAGAATAAGCCCTTGTGGAGCAGGGCTGGAAGAAGTGCAGGCTGTGGCGCCGATCTGGTGAGAGGCGTGTTAGCCAGTAGGAATTCCAAGTGCTGTGAGTGTCATGTTGGGTCCACTCGTGACTTAGGGTTAGCAACTGCTTCCCCATTGTCTCCTCGATATGAATAACAGAAAAGCCATTCTTCATATTTGAATCTTACTAAGAGATGCTGAGCCTATAGACGTACGCACCTGTACCCTAAGGCCCTTCACACAGAGGGACCCTCGGTGACATGCCGTGTATGATATTCCAGGGACACTGTGATGAGAAAATAGACTTGTTAGCACTTTACTCGTTGCCCACTATGGAACATTCTTTTCCTCACTCAGAGATTTTCCTACTCTTCCTTTTATTCCTCCCTGGGCTCTCTTCCCAGTCCTTTCATCTTCTCCGTCCACTCTTTCTTTCTCCCATAGATATTCATGTCCTCTTTCTTTGTAAAAGTTTTTTTCCATAAGCAATTTCTAAGCCTGAGTATTGCTAACTTTTGGACAACAAAAACATGGAGAAAATATTTCTAAATTTTATTTTTATTAGTAGTATATTTTAAGAAAATATTGAAATTTTAAAAGATATAAAATATGAAGTACAAATCTCCTCATATTCCCTACTCTGTTATCTAAAGGTAGCTCATGTTAAAATATGTATTGGCTATCTCTCCATAATTTTTCTGTACATAAATCAACTATAGGTAAAAGCACACTATACACATTTTTTGCAACTTGCTTTATGTTTTTTTAGCCTAATGGTATATCTTGAATAATTTTCTACATCAGTCATTCTGCTGGATAGATATACACTAAATTAAGGAAATTTTTAAAAAGAAGCAGATACATTAATTTTTTTCCAATTTTGCCTTGCACCATTGTAAGGATTCAGTAACTGTTTATTATAAAGTAGAGAGAAGAATGATATTTCTCACATTTTTGAAAGGAGATTGATTTTCTTTCCTCTTGTTATGGCTGCTCATTTTAAAATAAAAGATGCAGTAATAATAATAATAGAGTCATCATTTCTGAGACTGAAATTAGGGATAATATGGAGAAATTAGCTTCCCAGGTAGCTCAGTGATAAAGAATACGCCTGCAATGCAAGAGTCACAGGTTTGATCTCTGGATGGGGAGGATCTCCTAGAGAAGGAAATAGCAATTTGCTGCAGTATTCTTGCCTGGGAAATCCCATGGACAGAGGAGGTTGGCAGGCTACAGTCCATGCATTGGCAGAGTCAGACATGACTTAGTGACTGAGCACACGTGCACAGAGATATCAAGTCAAACACCAGTAAATTCTAGAAAGTCCTGCAAATGTGTTAAACAAAACTTCTGTCTCAAAACAGACCAGATTGATGGGCAGCATCTATTCTTTTTTTTTAAATTGTTCCAAGCAAAGAAATCTCCAGTCTGTTTTGAGGTAGAAGAAATGTTTGTAAACAACCAAATCTACATATTTGACCATTTAAACCTCATTTAACTTTATAAAAAGATGTTTTATCCCTTAAAAAAAATTACATTCTGGAAATGTGGTTTGTCTCTCAAATATGTCTGTAATTGGTCACAGTGACATAGTGTAAGCTGAAATCAATTGTTCTACATTCAGTACAGTAATTCCTTCTGCTTATAGTTCTTTCAAAATTGACATTGAATACAAGTTCTGGAAACAAAATATGGAATAAATGCATGAATTTTAAATGACAGAATTAATTAAAATTCTTTACTTTTATTGACATGTACATGACATTTTATAGAAGCTTGGTTGAATAACATTTGCATGTGATCTACATTCAGTTTCATAATACTCATTTTGCATATGGTTTGCATACATTTCAATGTACAGTAATTTTATACATTCAGAGTTAGATTGCTAGAAGGAAGGGAATCACTCAACTGAATAATTTCTGAAAGGGGAGGGCTCCGAAGGACTAAAGCCTCTTGGTACTCAGCAGCCTTTTTGGGTGATGAGATGGGCAAGTCTGCTTCAGAATACAACCTTGGTTAGACTGGTCAAGGCTTTCTCTCTGAGAGACACATGAAGCTCTGTCAGAGTCTGGTAACTTCCCTGAACACAATCCCCCAAACTCAAGAGATAATGAAAACTACTCCAGCTTCCATCATCCCTCTCAGCTTTAACATCCATAATTATTTACAAATAATTTTGAACTGTCTAGAATTTTAGTTTGTTCAATATCTTGGGGGAAAGGAGTCCTTCAAACAAAATAAGAAATAAGAGACAAGAAGTTCTTTGAAATTACATAGGAACAAGACATTTTAAATTACTTATTTGAAGAAAGGGTAAGTTTTGGTACTCTGGGAAACATTTACTGGGTCCCCTATGTTAATGGTCTGAGTAAGTTTGGGGTTGGCTTTATCTAATCAGCTTATCTTCAGACATAAATGAACCAAGAACTGCTCCCTTTGCCACTAGCATTTACCCAATTCTCCCATTTTAGAGGAGGAAAAAAAAGACTGCCTTAACTACGGGTTGGGGATTCTGGCCAGACTCTGAAATCCCAAGACACATGCAAGAGCCCTGCATGTTACTCTGGATAATTCTGGTTGCTATTCAGGTCCAAAGAGTCCATTCTGGACTTGGGGATCTTAAATTTTGGTGGCATAAAATTAATAGGTCAACTCTGGCTGTTCCCAAACAAGCATAGGATCAAACTTGCCTTCCAGAAAGATCAGGGTTTAGTACATGGGGGATGGATAAGAAGATAGTAGAAATTGGGAGAAGGGTAAAGAAGGTGCAGAAATGACAGCTGGTAGCTGACTTTGGGGAAGGGTTAGATAGAAAAAGGCAAGACAGTGATTTCTAGATTTCTGGCCTGAATGAGGTCATGCCATGTATTGTGTGAAGGCAATGTAATACTGGAAGGCAGAAGACATACTTTCTAGCAAATGCCTTCAAATGATGACTTTCTGCCATCATCTGAAGGATAAATCTAGTGGAAGCTCTCAGTAGGCAATTTGATAAACAGTATAGACCTCAGGAAAGACACGTAGGTTGGAATTGGAGGTGGTGAATGGAGATTGTATAGACAGACCCTTAGTAGGCAGTTTTTATATTTTTCAAAAGCCTTAACTACAAATGCTTTTGTACTAAAGAAGCATAGCTCTCTGAGGACCCAGAGAATGTGTCCTGGGGAAGGCTGCCTACCTCCTTTCAGAGGCAGCTTTAAGGTCTGAGATGTCAGTAAGACATCTAAAGAACGGACACAGAAATTGAGAACTTTCGCACCAGCTTGTGTAGAGTGAGACATACTTTCTCACTGATGCTCTCAGAGGATGACTTTCTGCCAGTAGTACCTCCTCTGGAGCTAATTTCAGGACATTATTATTTGAAATTCTGCCATAGAAGAGTGTTTTTCCTTCCTCTTTTCTAATGCAAACATAAGACATCCCTTCATTTTTCAGAGACTGGAAAATCCTGGTTTAGACAAAAGCTGAGAGCAAGTTCTTTCTAGATATTTTCTTTACCTTAGCTGTCTTGGCTTCACTCACTGGTGCAAAAGATCTTCCAGATACACAGTTGGGCTTGCTTAAAGTATCATTTAGTTTGGACACAAATGGGCCCTCTGCAAATGTGTGAATTAGGTGAAGCTTCCTTTCACATCCTTATTCAACTTATCGACATGGTTAACCCTCTGCTATGGTTTCCATCTGAACCCTCAGCACAATGCCTGGAGAGGCTGCATATGATGTGATCTCTCCCATGCATTAGGTTTCCCAAAAAGCAGTCCTATAATAATTCTCTAATAATTAAGTTAGCTGATAATCCACTTGGCCACTTGGTCATCTCTGTTCTCCCAATACAGTTTCCTTCCACTTTTATATGTGACTCAGTTATTATAAGAAAGAACTATTGAAAGAATTACTGTGGCCCATGGACCATTTCCTTACTCAGACTTGCTATTTTTATATCCTTGTCCTTAACTAAAATATCAGCAAAGCCCAGGAGAATATAATTTCCATGTGTCAATACTCATGAGGAGCAAAGATGATGTGTTTGCTCAACAGTAGGCTCCTAATAATGACTGAATTTAAGCTGTGAAATAAAATCAGTTTGTAAAAAATCAGGCAAGTGCCTTATGGTTGGAAGGTAAGCTCTGATAGACCAGAGAGCAGGGTCTTCTCTTGTCCTTCAGATATTCCCATAGGATAAAGAAATGTTTTACTTTAACACTGAAGAAACCGCTGTAGCTAACCAGACTTTGTCATGATCCCTTCAATAAGAGAAGCCCAAAGCACTGTGGGTAATCATTCTAGAACAGAGGTCTCCAAACCTTTTGCTACCAATTTCATGGAAGAGTATTACATTTATTATGCACTTTATTTCTAATCTAATGCTGCCATTGATCTTACAGGAGGCAGGAGACCCCTGTGACCTGGAGGTTGGGGACCCTGTCCTAGAAGAAGCTTAATACCATCCCCTACTATAATAAATCAGCCTGCAGTGGGAAGCCTACCCTTCTCCAGTGGATCTTCCCATCCCAAGAATCGAATTGGGGTCTTTTGTGTTGCAGGCAGATTCTTTACCAGCTGAGCTATCAGGGAAGCCCTTGAATAAATCAACATTATACCTTTATTAAAATTGCAAAATCAAAAAGATAACCAGCTTAAGATAAAAACAAGTAAAAAAATCAGTATTTGAGTACTTATTATTTGCCTAGCATTGGACTAAGATTCATGGTTAATTAAAAAGACATGTCAGATGTTGTTTCAACCTACATCATTTATATGACTGTCTTCCAAGTTAAAGTTGAACAGAAAGAATTCAGAATCCCTATTCTCCCTTCTGGATTTCCAAGATAGCATAGTGGTGAAGAATCTGCCAACAAAGGTCCATCTAGTCAAGGCTATGGTTTTTCCAATGGTCATGTATGGATGTGAGAGTTGGACTATAAAGAAAGCTGAGCGCAGAAGAATTGATGNTTTTGAACACTATAACTTTCAGCCCAAGTGTCCTCACCCCTCCTCAATCACAGCTGTTCCTGAACAGCCTCCGGATGTACTGCATGGAGGCAGAATGCCTCGGTGGCACCACAGGAGCCTGGCTTCTCCTGGGAAAGCCCTAAACTGATGTGCCCCTTGCCGAGCTGACTCTGGCCCTGCAAACGCTGCCTCTCTCGTCTGAGGTCTGGGCAGAGCAGCAGCAGCTGATCTTGGCCTGCCAGCTGGTATCTGAGCACCTGCTCCTGGGCTCCCTTCCAGCCCCCACTGTCCTGCAGGTACGCCTGCTGAGCAGGAGAGCCTGGAGTACAGGTGTTCCCGTGCGATGTGACGCTGGTGATACTGGGAGCGGGCGGAGCGCGCGGAGCGGCCTCTTCCCGGCTGCCGCCTTCCTCTCGGAACACGCGGTGGCTCACCTTCCTTCTGGACACACCGTTCAGGGACTGATGGGGGAGCTGGTTCAGCTTGGCCAGCATAACCTTCATCCTCAAATCTGTGAGAGACAAGGAGGAGAAGAAATAGACTTAGTTCTCAATCTGCATGAAAGACTGCATGTTTTGCATATTTACCATTCCTGAAAAGATATCACCAAATAATTAAAGACTGAGTTATATCAATTTACCAATTTCTAAATATTGTTGGGAGTACACACTTTTTCAAAAAACCCATGTCTCCCACACCTATCAATTAATTGATAATTAATATAAATTGTCTAATACAAATTTGATAATATAGCTTCCCAGAAAAAAACTTTTACAATGTTCATAATAAGTCAATCAGGATTTTTCATTGTAAGCATGGCAGCTTAAATATGAAAATTAGGCTAGAATCAGACCTTACCGTGTGGGTTAACTCACACCTGTATTAATAAATGCAAAACCAGTCTTATTAATACTTCTGACTTTTATGCCAAATTCACAATTTGAATATATTTTATTTTATAAAACAAACACATGCAGAGATAAATATATAAATAAACAAGTTTCTATAAGAGTGTGTATATATAATTACTCACCTATAAGAATTATCTTAAAACACACCCTAGGCCTGAAATATTTTTTCCACCCTGTCTTTCAAAACCCTCTGCCTTCTTTCACTTACCTCCCCAAATTTCCCTTTCTTCATAAAGTACTTCCTAACTCATGAATTCTCATAATTCATTGGGTATTGAGGAATGCATCGACCTAGTTTTATAAACAATAAAGTGCTATAGTTCAACTTTAAAATAACTTTATTAAATTATTTTTTAAATCAAATTAAAGGTGATTCAAGATTGTTAATGCCACTCATACATTTACATTCCAGTATGCGTTCCTTGAAGAGAGAAAGGCTAATAATCATTTAAAGTAATACTTTTATAGCAATTATATGCTGGGCACCAGGTTTTATATATATATGTAATTTTATATATATGTATATATATACATAATTCAATCCTTACAGCAACCCTCTGAAGTGTTATTACCATCTCCCTTTTAGAAGGGATACAGAGATTAAGCAACTTTTCAAGACCACAAATAACATAATAGCACATCTTACTGTATAGAAGTCAAGATCTATGACTCCAGAGTTGTAGTGGGAGAACCACACAGTGCTGTGTACAATTAAAGCTAGTAAAGGGGAGTTAAGAAGAATGTTTTGCTAAATACATGAATCAGAGTGTGGCACATGTGGGAATGTCATCTTCCATGTGCCTTAGAGTAAAATAAAAGGTTGAGAACTACCCTAAACCCCTGAGAGGTATATGGCAGTACTGTCACTGACATGTCCCATCCCTGATTTTCTAATTTCTCATCATCAAATGCATTAACATGAATTTTTATACATACATACTTTTATATACAAGGTAAATGCTAATTGATAAACCTGTGTATTATACCTCTCTCTCAGTTTCCTGAGCCTGTCTTGGCTTATGTTAGCAGAGAATCATCAAGTCTGTATCATAGTGTAAGAGACAATATTATAGTATAAATATAAATAACATAAATATAAATAACATCATAACATAAATATGTTTAACCTATATCTATCTATCTATCTATATAAACAAGGGCTTCCCTGTTGGCTGAGATGGTAAAGAATTCGCCTGCAAGGCAGGAGACCAAGATTCGATCCCTGAGTTGGGAAGATCCCCGGGAGAGGAAAACATATAATACACTGCTGATTTGGAAGAGTAAAACAAGATAAAGTAACCATGTTGTTTATATTGTTTTGATGATGTGTCAGTTAATATTCTGTGAAACCCATGTTATCCACATCTTCTCTCCTCCTCCACAGTCCTTTCTTCTAGCATGTAACTGCTATGGTCCCCTAACTATAGGATAATTCTCTTGCTTAGAGCTTCCAGGTTATCCTAGTCTCCCTATGGGACTTCAAATCCTTCCAGAACTATTCCTTGACAGCTCAAAGGCATTATTTTACTCCTCAGTACTTGTTGACTGGAGTTTCTCATTTGACTTGTACAACTGTTTTGCACAAGTTTCTATTATTAGTCACCTTTCCTTGTATGACAGTCTCATCTTCCTCTTAGGACTTTTGAGTTCCTCAGGGAAGGAACTTTTTTTTGCCATCAACCTTGTCCCTCTATTAAGCCCAGCCCTATGTTGAGTCCTGAGTTTGGTGTCATCTCTATAATTACCGCTCCCACCAGGAGGAAAAGACATAGTTTATCAAGATCAGCAAATAACCAAAGAATAGGAATAATAAATTGTCAAGTAGAAGCAAACTTAAAAAAGGAAAATGGGCTTTGAATTTTTATCCCTTGGTAAAACCAATACCACTTCATGTAAGGGGAATCAAACACTGCAAGTCACCTATTTTCAATCCATTGAAGATATTGTTATCCTATTTTTGAGAGACCGTCTTTGGAAATCTATTCCCCCTTGTTCTTTGAGTCTGCATCTATTCATGAAAGACTAACACGAGCGCAGCTTTCTTTTGCAAGCCCCAAAACATTTAAAAATCTCCCATGAATTATTTACACGGCAGCTCCAATCAGCAACATACCTGACAGACTCCCCAGCTGAAATGAAAGTGTGCTGTGTAAAGGTGTCGAGGGAGGCTGGCCACCTCCCACTGTGAGGTTATAGACAGAACTAAGTCAGCACACATTATATGTCAGCGCCAACATCAGAAGGAATCCGATCCTTTGATCTTGGACCTCCACAGGAAGCTTAGATCTCAGACAAATTAGATAAAAAATGAATTTATAGCAGATATGTGTCCTAAGGCATTCAGCTGAATGTTTGGGTCTTAGGGAAGGAAGAACAGTGAGTATCAAAACATATGCAACAGCAAGCCTCCTTTCCACCTCCACCTTGTTGGTGAATCCCCATTAAAATGGAAAGATAGGATTTCACATTGCCCCTCTATGTCTCTTAGAGTCCTGTTGGTGGGTTTGATCAAGTTTCAGGGAGACTATGGGAACATATATCCTTACTCTATGAAAAAGAGAAAGGCTTGGTGGTTTGAGGTCCATGAAGGTTCATCCACAGTTGACTGTAATTTTTCTTAGGTATCCTTAACCTCTTTTGGCTTCTAGAACTTTCTTGGGCAACCAATATCCTGAGCCTATGATTTTAAAGATTTGTGTGGGTAGTAATTGTTAGATTCTTCTTCTTCTTCTTCTTTTTTTTTTTTTTTTGCTTGCTTTTTGATCAGTCACCTGTTTGCTGTATTTTTTAAGATTCCACAAATAAGTGATATCCAACAGCATTTGTCTTCCTCTGTCAAACTTACTTCACTCACCGGTTTCTTTTGCAATGGGGAAATTAACAATGAATATTCCCTCCCTCCGCACCACTCCCTGTCTTTATTTGTATAGCCTAGTCTTCATGTGCTGCATTTAGTGTAGGATGACTCGGATTCAGTGTGAAAGACCCAATATAAGCTCCTCTATCTTGAAGCCTAAATAGTTTCTAAAGCAGAAAGATGGACAGTGGATCAACCAACATAAAATAGATTCCAATCAACCAAAAATAAAAAAAGAATCAATCAACCAAGAATAGACTCCACTTTGGTTTCTCATTTGTCAATAAGGGGAACAGTCCTGCCCACACATTGAAGAAGATATACACAATAATTAATAAATAACATTAAATTATTAATAGGAAAGAATTGCTATTAATGACAAATATAAGTACTGGCTTCCCTGGTGGCTCAGCGGTAAAAAATTCACCTACCAAAGCAGGAGACGAGGGTTCAATTCCTGGGTCGGGAAGATCCCCCTGGAGAAGGAAATGGCAACCCACTCCAATATTCTTATCTGGGAAATTCCATATATGGAGGAGCCTGGTGGGCTATAGTCCATTGGGTCGCAAGGAATCAGACACAACTTAATGACTGAGCATGCATGCACTATAAATACTATCACCTATGTTTTTTCTACATTATTTGTTCTTTTAAATGAAAAATTATTATCTATTTTTAATAGGAAATGTATGATGAATCAGGAAGTATGGAAATTTTTAAAAGGTAAAGAAAAAGTGCCTTTCATTCCACATTATACCATAAGTGATCTCCACTTTATTATTTCTGCAATACTCTAGCAATGGTTATGTTTTAATAAACCTAATTCAACTCATTAATCTACTCGAAGTTTACTTTGGTAATTTTTTGAAGTATGAATCTAGATTACTAAATGTTCTAAGAAGTCAAATTTGTACCCCCATTAATAGATGGATGCTTCTGTTTCCCTTTATTTTTATTATCTTCATCATAACTTTTATTTCTATACCTAATACCTAGTTGAAATTATTTTTCCTAATGCTCATATATTCTTGTATCAGTGTCACACTGTCTGAAGAATAGTGACATAAGTATTGTGTCTCTGGTTGAGCTACCTTTTCCCATTGCCAAAAATCCCATTTCCTGTAAAAAATTAGTTTTCTGTCATTGATGATCTATAGTTTCTGAAGAATTTTAGAATCATTTTATACTGTTCTACTCTGTACAAAATAATTGAAATGGTGTTAAACACTGAGCCACCAAGGGATTCCTAAACCAAAGTTAATTTAGAAATAAATATGGTCTTTACAACATTAATTAATCTAATTAGAAATGCGAAGTAATTCCCTACGTATTTGTCCTTAAACTCTTCAATAAAATACAGCTTATTTTTTATGTAAGCCCCACATACCTCTTGTTTTTCCCCAAGACAGCATGTTCCTTGGCCACTATCGTGTATTTATCTTTCTTAACGGTATACCCCTGGATTATACAATATGATTGTTGCTTAGACTGACATTATATTTGACTAATTTACTCAAGTTATTAATAAATACAGTAGTTAATGGTTAAATCTTTAAGTTATCATTCAACAATCTTCTGCAAATCAACATGCATTTTCTCCAAAATTGTCCTCTAAATTTTGTTTTAAATTTGACTGTTTCTTCCCATTCCAAATATATATGTTATAAAATTTTGGTAAGAATGAGTTCTGTGCTTTATCATCACTTAAGTAGAAATGTTTCTAATATTCCATTGTTAATGATG